TCTCTCTCTCTTTATCTCGGTCCCTTCCTCTCTCTCTCCACTCTCCACCCCTCTCGCTGTCTGAGTCTCCCTACCTCGATACCTTGTTTTTCTAAACGTTACTCTGTGTGTAGGTCAACAGGTGCAAAATATTGTGTTGAAGTTGTATTTCGACACTGTCAGCTCTTGGTGCTAAATGACGTTTTACATCTGTTTTTGTGTTTGAAGGATAATGTTGATCACTAGTTTCTAGCGAACATATTACATTTTCTTTTCACCACATAACATGAACGTATCGCTACCTCAGAATTACAAAGTTCAATCTGACATTTTTGGCTGTTTTGAGTTCTTAAGACCATGGGGTCAGACACCAAATGTTCTGTCTGCTCTATCAAAATCGTAAGGTTATTCGAAGTCGCAATCAAGATATTCAAAGAATTGCATTCGAAAAAAGCGTGACATGATGTGAAACTCAAAATCTTTGGCGTCAAATTTCTCAAAACTTGGCACTGAGCTGATAGTACTTCGTAATTCTGATGTAGCGTTATGTTAGAACCTATTTTAAGTTTATGGCGAAAATCTCACTGGGTTTATAAGTGGGTTCTCAGGTGCAATCCGCTTCATCTTCTTCTTCTTAGCGAGCATTATTCTACTTTCTTGCCCCTTGAGAAATGTGATCATGTTCATGCTAATTCAGGCGGCTCGGATATCTTAACCGATTTGATTGATTTGATTTGATTTGGGGGTGTGAATAGACAGCTATGGAAATGTATCGATGTGAGGATATTTGTTCTGCTCGCCTAAATTATGGTAAGGGAATGTATTTGTAAAATGACTTTACCAATAAGTTAAATGAAAGCTCATTTCAACGTAATGATTTTTTCCCCCAGTTTTGTGTGGTGTGGCGCACCCTTAAGGCGTCATTCTAGAATCATTTGATTGAGGAGAAAAGGCTCAGTGATTTGTATTAGGAGCGTCTTTTTTCTCTGTCTCCCTCTTCATTGAAAACGAAAATTCCGACTTTCGATTTTCATTCACCTTTCCGCCCACAGGCGACCTGTTTATGGACGTTGATCGATGTCTTGCCTTTGAACACTTTTCCGCATTAGTAGACTCTATAGTCGTAGATATTGATTTCTTTTGCGGTATCAACTTATCCATATTGTAAATTCTGTCCCGTGTGGACACCTCATTGTTACTTCAGCCATTGGTCCATTCATGGCAATGGGGGGAATTTTCTTTCTGCAGTTGTGTGATACAAAGATGGATTGCTGCTGGGCGGTTGTTGGTGTTTTTTTTAGGGGGGAGGGGGGGGGTGTCTTTTCGGAGTTTTTAAAAATGGGTTTTCCCCACCGGAACCCGTTGTAACTGACCGTGGACGGAGATCTGTAGTAAAAGTAACGAATCATGTGTGACTTCTCAAGTTTAGTTTCAACCTGCTTGAAAAGTTGAAATTGAGGAGTTTGCGCGACGATCTCAGCTTTGTGCATTTTTAACGTGAAGGAAGAGTGTTTTTGCATTATGTGCTATGGTGAGGTTTTTAGAAATAATTCATATTGTTCGTGTGGAATTTTATCATTTGAAGTACTATACAAGTACTCATACTTCCATCTCAGCCTCTGAGTATACTGCTTCGAAACGCTTAAAAGTACTGCCCTAAATATTCACTACCAGTTGCAGAGGTGTGGTAGACAGTGTATGCACAAACACATCCCTTGAACTGTCGGATTTAAAATTTAAAAAATTGCTCATGTATATTGAATTTCATTGTTTGTTTTGAACAAGAGTGCCTTTACTGCGCGTTGGGTGGATGTGCCACACACAGAGAACGCTTGTCTTTTTTGGGGATATGAGAACTGCCGACAAAGCAACTGACTCGGATCTTGAGAGAGATATTTCAAGCTCCTGCTTTAGTCGAAGATCGTCACCTCTGAATCGGCATATAAGACTCTTTCCTATATTCTGAAACACTGTCTTAATACTTGTACCTGATATTGTCACTTGTATTCATTGCGCGTCAGTTTGCTCAGAAAGGCGCTACTGTGGAGATTATCGATTTCACAGCTTTTCCTTTCCCCGCTTGCTAGGAACACATGGGGATTATCGAATTTCTCTCACAACTGTTATTCATTTTAGTATATTTGTGTGAAACTGGGTGTTGCCTCACCTGTTGCTTCAAAAGTTTACTTCTCTCCGGTGTATTTCCAAAACGTTGTGTCTCAGAATTGTCTGCACAAACACTTTAGCCCTATTTTCCTCTTGCCTGTTTGATTACCTACAAGTTTTTACTTTCCATTATTCTCCTGTAGTTCCCTTCTCTTCCAGACCCATAATCGTAAGACTATAAATGCGGTGAGTCTAAGCTCAGCTCGGTCTGACGTGGTGTCCTTGGCAAAGGCACTTTACACACGAATTTTCTCGTTTGGTTCGGTCTTATCAGAGACACGGGTGGCTGGAGGGTGCCACTGGTAGGTCCAGCTTCTTAACTCCCCCACTGTAATTTCTGTCTCTCTTATCTTACGTCTTCCCATCGGTAAATGACCAAAATTGTGTCGATGTGCTTCTCTTTACTTAAACAAACGGACACAACTATCGAAGCTAGAAGATATATTCGGAGGTTCCGACTCATAGATAATTGTATAGTTTTGCAAGAGATTTTGAACCCATTCAGGGTTTTTTTTCTCGTACTCGTTCGACTCACCTCCACCATCCTCTGGGGGCTCTCGTGGCCTTGAGGTTAAGGTGTTTGCCTCTCATTCAAAGGTCCCGGGTTCGAATCCGGGTAGCGACCGAACAATTTTCTTCTCTAAAATTGTCTCCTTTCACCTCTTTCTGCCCCCACCCCCTCACCTCCTTTGCCCCTTCCTCTGGGCTCCTGACTCTTTCTGCAGACTTTCTACTGCTACTCCTTGGCTCCCTCTTACAGCTGTCTTTCTGCCACACCCCTGATCTTCTGGTAGGAAAGATCTACACCAAGCCTTCTCGGACAAGGGCGAAAAATCTCGGAGGTCCCATGTGCAAGTTGCGCACGTT